CTAGCAAAATAGAGAAGCATTTCAGTTTTGTTATACTTAATTCGTAAGTAGGGAGATGCTTCTGATGATGTCAAAATGAAGATAAGGACGGTGACATTGTGGAGGAAGTTGCTTCAAAGCAGTGGGGTAAGAAGTAGACACAGGGAGCCGGGCATTGGTGGTGCATGCCTTTAATCCCAGAAGTTGGGAGGCAGAGACAGGCAGATCTCTGTGAGTTCGAGGCCAGCCTGGTCTACAGAGCTAGTTCCAGAACAGTCTCCAAAGCAATACAGAGAAACCCTGTCTCGAAAAACACCTTATTTTCAGAATGAATGCATAGATTTCTAGAAGCATCTATAAGCCATTGTTAGACGTCACGGGGAAGCCTGGGAAGATCCTTAGATATAATGTCATACAAAAGAATCAAAAACATGCCTTGTTGAGAGCACATAGTTAATTAAAAGAACAGAAAAATTTTAGTCAACATAAATGCCGGCATTTTAAGGTCTCTAGGAGTTAATTTTTAAAGCTATATGTTTCCAGGTGGGAGAGAAGTTGTTAAATAGCCTGATTAACATTTAAAAGGTAGATGGGACCAGGTATATATATGTAATCCTGGTATGTGGGAGGTAGATTCAGAAAGATCAGGAGTTCAAGGTCATCCTCGGCTATATAGCAAGTTCTAGGCCAACCTGGGTTCCATGAAATCCTGTCTCAAAAGCAAACAATAAAATAAACAAACAAATAATTGGTCAAAGAGACATACAACTATTGATAGTATGTCTTGGTCATGTGAAGCTGTCATTTTCAATATTAGATTCATAAAGATACCAACTGAGTGCTGCACGCATTTTGAAAAAACTGACAATTACAATAAAACCACTTGTGGAGCTAAGTCAAGAGAAACTAAGCCCGTATTGAAGGGGAGCAAAGAGGCCTCCACACGGGCATCACAGCACTGGCACAGTTGGAAAGGGCCGCTAAGGAGGATTCAGAGCCTACCCTGCGATCCACACACCCATGTAACTTGGCATGCAAAGGGCAGGAAATGCAACCTAGTGCGGAGACTTTGTGTACTTCAGTTAGTGGTGATGGGACCATTGGCTAGGCATGTGAAATCAGAGCTTAGCTTTACTGACCACGGCACCACCATCAGAGTCAGGCTAAGATTAAAAACAAATGCGAGAAAGCAAAATTTTACGAGTCTTTTAAAAAAAAAAATGCATACCTCCAAAAATGGGAGATAATGTTTAGACCTAACCCTGTGGCCTACTTTCAGAAGTGCATTTTGTGCTGCTAATTGTGAGTTTGTCTTTAGAGAAGTCACATGAAAGTTACAAAGCATGTCTTTTGGAAAAGACACTTGCACTCACGTGGTCCACAGACTTGATAACCAGCTCCTATAAAGCAATGAGAAGAAAAATAAAGCCCAAACATGAGGGCAGGTGATGGATATGGCCAGAATACAATGATGGCAAAACTCCCACCCCAAGGCTGAGGTGTGTGGCTTGGAGGTGGAACACATATGTGTGTAATATGTGTGAGGCCTTGGGTTCCATCCCCAGGAAACACTGGTACTATCACCGCAATGTACAACAAAACAGGAAAACAAGCAAACCCAGCTTGTGAATGAAGCACTGTATTGGACAGTAAGTTACAATGAGACATGGGTCCAGGTAAAGCTGGTTTATCTGAATTGATCTGGCATCTTTCCCATCCTTTCTTCAGTGGTGACATAGACTCTTGCCATCTAAGACATTTGATTCTCCAGTTTTTAATATACGAGTCAATGATACACGGATAGGAGTATTTATGCCTCATAACGCCACAATTTCAGTCAATTCCAGATTTCTCTCCCATCGCCATATCACTCTACACAGTGTGGAATGACACACTGGCATAGAAGAGGTTTTCAGTGAGATTTTTTTTTAAATGCCTTTAAAACGTAAGGAATTTAAAAAGTAAATATAGTATAAAAGAGCTTTGGAGAAGCTATACATGTCTGTGCTTGGGAAATACAGGTCAAGGGTTCCCTAACCCACATGCTTGGGACCAAAAGTGCTTTTTGGAGTTTGGAATATCCGCATAGACATATTACCCTCCTTGTCTTGGAGACGGGACCCAAGTCTAAACAGAGAATTGCACTACTGCATCTGCAGGTGGTACATACAGCTAGAAGGTGATTCTGTACAGTCTTCAGAGGGTCTGCGTTATGGCTGTGATGCATTACTCAAGGTCAGATGTGGAATTTCCAACCTGTGGTAGTGTTCAAAAGGTTTCTAATATGGGGCATTTTGGATTTTCAGTTTTAGATTTGTTCCATCTGTGTGTCTTAGAAAACAAAGCCCATTCAGTTGAATTTTTCTGGTTAATATAATCTCCTCTTTTAATTTTGGAGACTTAAGTCTTACCTACATTACACTATTTTATATTACAATCCTGTGTCAAAAAAAATCTGTGATAAAGAAATTAACAACAGAAGTTTAGATTCTATTATTTAAAGTTCCATCATGATTTGCCAGACAGTTGCAGCTTGGGAATCAAATGGAATATTATTAAAGATGCAGAAGCAATGACATAAAAGATGGTCACATTGATGTTCTTACTTAGCCAACTGTAACAACCACAGGGTCATTTAAATTATAAATTTAGATTTGAGATAATAGAGAACAGAAATGAAGGCAAATGGAGACAAAACAAAAGAGACAATCCTACTGTGTGTAGCGGAGCATGGGAGAGAACCTCTGTAACCGCAGCACTCTGTAGGTGTATTATATGAAGACTGTGAGTTTGAGGGTAGCCTGGGCTAGCTACACAGTGAGTTCAGGGTCAGCCTGCAACACATGGTAAAGCCCTGTCTCAAGCAAATAAATGAACAAGTAAGCAAACAACTAACCAACCCACAGCACCCAGAGAATTGAACAGCAAAGTTGGACAAGAGATATTTTTCAAAACAGAGGAAGATACTAGAAACAAATAAAAGCAGTGTCCAAAGTGGTCCAGGCTTGGGCCACACCCTTGATCAGAGGACCTCCCTGTCTTAAAATCTGATTCCTCACATGTGAAATGTGTGCACCTTCAAAGAGCTGCCAAGAGGGTTAAGGCACCGCTTGAACAGTGAATACACATGATCACAGCCGCTGGCATGGACACGATGGGTTGCCATGGTGCCGCTCACCCATGCCTTGCATGTACATCAGTAGCAGGGTGTTCCTTCACTCTGGTCCAGGTATATTTTAGACAGGAATGGCTTTCAGGGTCAATGGACATCCAACAGAAAGGAGTGGAGAATGGATTCAGGAATAGAACGGTCTTCCTGGTTACCCAGCTTTTGCATAATGGGCCTCACTGCCGAGTCCCTTCTTCATACTCCTCCACTTTTTCTTTCCTTAGACTAGGAGACACATGATCATTTAAATTCCAAGTAGTGAAGAAAAATCCCTCCTGAGGGTAGCCATAGCTTCCTGAACTTCATGAGGGGCTTGAAGAGTAGAGGTCTGCTATGCAAGAGGGAGTATGGCTGTGTGCACCCTGATGATGTGCATGGGGGAATGATACCTTGGGGGAATGATGCCTCTAAAGCTGTGTGGCTTCTGGTCCTCAAGTACTTGTCATCATTACTTTACAGCCAAACCACAGATGAGTTAGGGCAGGGACCTCTTAGTATCCAGCTTCTTTCTGGGTCATGATGTTATTAGTGGGCTCTGGAAAGTGATGCTTTCCCTGAACTCATGGGATTGCTAAATCGGGGCCTGCATTAAAACCAACAGATCACTAGTAAGCATGTGGCCTCTGCAGACTTTGATGTGTTTCTCACCATCTTACGGCCAGGGTGATTTCTCCAGATAGTGTTTCTCTGCTGTGGCCTCCCATTATAAAGGCCTGAAGTCCTTTTAGAAAATTCTGATGTTCTGGCCCCATCCCAATGAGTAATTTCCAGAAGTAGGGTTCACATACTGCTTTTAAAAATAACGTTTTATAAATCTATTTTTTTTTGGAGAATATCCTATAGTATATTTTGATCAGCTTTTCCCCTCCTACCCCAACTCATTCCTGATGCCCTATCAACCTCCTTACCAACCCAGCTTCACATTCTTTTTCTCTTGTAAAAACAACAACAATAACAACAACAACAATCCCGGAGGAGTCCAGTTTGTGTTGGTTGACTACTCCTGGGCACTGGGCGCTCCCAGGAAGGTGGCTGATAAACCCTCTGTCATTCCACTGAAGAAAACGGATTTGTCCTTCTCCCAGCAACCATGGTTTTCAGATAACTTCTTGGCGAGGGGTGGGACATGGTACCCACTACTCTCACAGGCTGGCTTGAGCTTGTGCTGGTCTAGTGAATGCCGCGGTCTCTGTGAGTTTATATGCACACCAGCCCTGCTGTGTTGGGAAAACGCTCTTCCTTGGGGTTATCCACCATCTTTCCCTCTCACAGTCTTTTATAAATTCCTGGACTTTTAAAGGAGGGATATGATCCCTTTTAGGCCAGATATTGCTTGTTCCTTTGTTTTGAGACATGGCGTGGAGGAGCCCAGGCTGACCTCAAACTCACAACCTGGATGAGGATGCTCTTCCACTTCTGACCCTCCTGCCTCCACAGGTAAGCCCAGCACCCATGGTTTTAATTTGCCGCCGAGAGTGAAACCCAGGCTTCAGGTATGCTTGCGGAGCCATCTTACTGACTCTATATACTCATCGTGTTTTCTTAGAACTTCCCTGGGTGCCTCAGTGTGACCCAGGAGGAGAAGCATGGGCTCCGAAGATACAAAATAGTTTTCTCACAGTCTACAAGGTCAAGCAAGTGAAACCCCCAGTGTAGCCTTAATGTTTCCTATGAGCTAGATGGTCAGGACCGGAGAGACCAGCCTCCTACAATCCAGGGTGGGGATAAATATCAGGGAAGCTAAAAGACAAAGGAGACACAGACCCTGCCTCTGAGGAGCTGGTCTTTACTGGCCTGGATAAACAATCTATAATGCTCTTACATGAGAACAGCCTTGTGCTTATCCACTTACCTATTGAAGTGGTAGATGTCCTGTATGTTCCCAAAAAGAGCAGCCCTATCTTCAGTCCCCAGGGGCAGTTTTGTTTGGTCCCGGATGCAAGCAAGGTAATCCTGTGAAGTCAATGAGAAGGATGCCTTAGGACTCCCGAACTTTTCTATGACACTTTTCACATGCAAGATGAATCACTGGCATCTATTTCAAATGCGCTCATTACCCCTACCACAGAGTACAGACGGATGCTCCCTCATTATTGAGTATGATATTCACCTGTTAAAAAGCGTGCAGTTGTAGCAAGGAGAGATAACATGGTCTACATTAAAGTGGTCCCCCATCTCCCCAGTCCATCAGAGCTTCCTTCTACGGATGCTGGCCACAGTTAGTGGTAACATCAACGGAGCCTCAGGGAAATAGCTCAGTTGGAAAGTGCTTGCTGTGCATGCATGAGGACCTGAGTTTAAGCCCTCACGGCCCATGATGGTGATACATGCTTGTAATCCAGGTACTGGGGAGGTGGAGGGAGGTGGGTCGGTGGAAATCGTCCTTTGGCCAGCCAGCCTAGTTTATCCAGTCCCAGGCCAATGAGGACCCTGTTTCAAAAACCGAAGCAGACAGAACTTGGAAGAATAATACCCCAGGTTGATCTCTGGATTCCACACGCTCTGTCATATACATGTAAAGTTCATATAGTGGAAAATCAGAAATAAAAATTCAAAGTGCGATAGAGTTGTTTAAGACACCCTTTAAGGCATAAAAGCATCAGATAAGTACACACAGGACCAGATCCATGCCAGTGCAGGAAGGCTTAAAAAAAATAAGCAAAAAAACAAAACAAAACAAAACAAAAATAAGCACATTACTCCCATTTGCTAAGTGCGTGAAGTTAAATTAATGCGCGGAGGAGAATGGAAACAATTTTCCATGTCTAACACTTACAAGGCTCTTAAATACATCCTACATCAGCCAGACCCACAGAGGGTTAAACCAACACAGCCCGGGCATTGTCTGGATCCTTGAAAGAGGGGAAACTGCTTTCTGCACCTTGTGTGCTCAAGGGTTCATAACTCAATGTTCCCCTCTCCCACCACATTGAGGATGGACTCAATAGGAAGCAAGGGCAGACTTAAAAAAAAAAAAAAAAAAAAAAAAAAGCGAAAGCAGCTGAAATAACGTAAAATAAAATAAAAATAAATAAATACAGTCCCCTCTCCAGGATCGCACATTGTAGCTCTACTTCCTTCCAAGTTCACGGTGTGGTCCACAAGCATTGTGGGGAGGGGACATGCGCAAAATAACCAGGCCCACAGAGAGCAGCTCCCACTGCATCCCGCTTTCCAGCACAAACGAGATGCTACACGGAACCCCTGAAGGGGAAGCTGGCCTTCACACCCACCAGCCTCTACTTCCCTGTGCCTCTCACTTGCTTTGTCCCTTCTGCAAAAAGCACAGGGCCTTGTTGTTAGCTTCCCAAATAGGTCACTGTCTACACCAAATGGGCTTTCATTCTGGTCCCTCTCCTCCTAAAAGTATTGCCACGCGTGACTTTTATTATCTTTTTTTTTTTTTTTTAAAGCAAGCTTTGCTGGTCACTGCTCTTCTTTTTCCCCCTCCCTCTCTCCCCCTCTCCCTCCCTGCTTTGCTAGAAGTGAACATCTCATAAGAAAGCAGGCTGACAAGATTTCAATGTCGTTGGCTGGCAAACCGCCCCACCCCCGGCACCCCCAACCCCGCAAGCCAAGCTTATTATCATTATTATGAGAGGGACAGTGATAAGGAAGTTATGTATGAGCAGGGGAGGTCGTGTCCAGCCAAGAGCAGCTATGCATAACAGAACTGAGGCAATAGCACATTGAGAACAACATGTACAAACTGTTCCTCATCAAGAAGCCTTCACCGAGAGCTAACGGGATGGCTCGGTAGATAAAGGCACTTGTTATTGATCAGCGATGACCCGAGTACGCACCCCCCAGAACCAAAACAATTCCCACGAGCTGTCCTCTGACCTCCACACCCAGGCCATGGCATGTACTCTTCCCCAAAGAGATGCCAAGCAAAACAAACTGATATTCTTGTTAAATTGCACGTGGCGCGTAAAAACCCAACTTCATCGCTTGCTTCTATTTGATAGTAGCTTAGTAAGCCATTAGACACTTAAAGATCGTTATTACTTTATTTCTCCTGTGTGTCTCTCACTGAGTCACTTTTCTAGACCCTAATTAGACATTTGCAAGGAATATTTTGCATGCAAAACCAAGGAAATTAAGCCCGATAACCTGGCCCATCCAATACATCAGGCTGAGAGGTATGGCTAGGATGGTGACCAGATTCACACGACGGGTCACAGCAGGCTGTGAATAAAAAGCCCAGTAACAATCCTTGAAAAATGTCATCTGGTGTTGGAGACAAAGCCTGTGGCTCCCTTTCAAAAACTCTTGTAGTTTGGAACTGGGAGTTCATAGCAGAGACCCTATATTTTAAAAGCTGCTTGCTTTCCAATTTTTTTTTTTTTTTTTTTTGTAGGTCATTCTAGATAGCAGATCAAAGCCATATGGCCACAACTTCTTCTCCACTCTGACCATAATTAAGTATCTTAAATAGAGGACATTAACCCTGAACCGGTTACTGGAAACTACTGTAGCTTGTGCTGCTCTGGCAGCTGTAGTCATCTGAAGCCAAAATGAGAGGCTGGAAGCTCAGCCTAATAACAGTGCACTCTGTGCTCAAATGACAGAGTGAGGGCATCAGCGGACTCCATCACGATGCTCATTAAATTCACTGGCTTCATGTCCACACCAGTGGCTATCATACGGCTCGCAACCAACCTATAGAAAATGTCTACGCTGGAAGGAATTCTTGGCTATGAACTCTTCTGTCTGCTTTGGGACAGGAGCAAGCAGACAGGGACTCTCACGCAGAAGAGACCTTTCTGTCACTCAGTTTCCCTTTGGAGGTTTAAAAGTCTGCTTTGGAGTATCTAGTTTTTAAGTAGTTTATGTCCTTACGAGCGCCTTCATTGAACAGGTTGTACACAACTGTCCTTCTCTGGCTTCTTATTTGAAAATATCAATATGGAGTCTAACTTGGTGCCCGTTGGGGTGTGGGAGCACACAAGAGGCAGTTGGCAAAAACCCACAACAATGTAAAGACAGAACCTGAAGAGGTACATTGACACCTTGATGAGTTTGACTATCTGTTGGCTTATTCATAAATCGGTTTCTGCAACTAGAATGTGTTTTAAAATTTTAAATGGTTTTTTAAAATTTTTATTGCTTTTGTTTCATGTGCATGAGTGCCTGCCCACATGTCTGTGCACCGCACATAGGCCTGGTGCCCTTGGAAGCCAGAAGAGTGCATCTAATGTCCCATGGACCTGTCCTTATAGGGAGTTGTGAGCTGCCACTTGGGTACCAGGAATGGAACCAGATCTCTGGCAGAGCAGCCAGTGCTCTTAAACACAGAGCCACGCCTGCAGCAACTGGAGTATCTTATGCTTCCCTTTCAAAAGCAATAGTGAGTAACAAAAGCTATAATACAGTACACACACACACACACACACACACACACACACACACACACACACACACCACATAACAGTTGGGGACATCCTCCTCTAGATAAGCATGCTGCAAAGACACACAAAGGGTGTTATGGAAAATTCTAGAGAGCACTGGAACAATTTCTCCAAGATGCCTGAAGAAATTTAGTTACTGGCTCCTCTAACCCTTCTCTTCTTTGAGATCATGTTTTAAGATGTTATAACCCACTTGGAGATAAGACTCAATGAGGAAAAGATAGTTATTTACATGGAAGATAACTAGAGTGCCTCCCAACGCTTCCATTTCCCTACACTCTTCCCCACTTGGAGATAATCCCACTGTGGAAAGGAAACTGGAAAGGGCTTTCCTAATCCTCTCGCTTATATATCCACTCCCACACAGTGGATTTCTGTGGCACTTTTTGGTTCAGCTCCTGCTGTTAGCACTTTGCACCCTACTCATTTGATAGCGCTCTTACGGTTTTCCTTTTCTTTGAAGGTGGTGATGCTATTCTTTAGTTTGGAGAAAGCATCTTCTCCTCTTGCCAGAAGGCTGGGTCAGAATTCCACTGAAACCAGAATGCCCTAGATTTGCCTATCAATGTACAGTATAAAGTACACTCCCCTCCACTCAGCCAGTCCCCCTGCCTGCTCTTCCTGAGGGCATTAAGAGTGGGTGCCAAGTTCTGTTTTACAAGCTGGGAGCTTACAAACTGAATCATATGGGTCCTTTCCTTCAGGGAGCTCCGTCCCTGACTTGCTGAAAGTATGTGTCAACATGCAGGTCCTGTACCGTTCTGGCTGAATGGCTGTGAAGTGTCCAGTCGAGAAGGACCCACATATTCAGTACAGAAGGTAATGGTGCACAAAGGCAGATGTGCTCAATTCCAGGAAGGGATTACAACCCTTGGCAGGAGGAAGGTCTTTTAAAGAGACACTCGTGCTACCTGACTACTGAAAAAAGTGGAGGAATTTGCCTCCCAGCAGGCACTCATCCCAAAGCTGGACCAATGATGGGCACAGACATACCTTGAGCAGGACTACTTAGTTACATATACCTGTCGCCCTCCATGCTCCCTGGTGGGCTGGCATCACTGAACCCCTTTATTTGTTCTTTGTCCCAGTGTCCCCACACTGAATAAGCCTAGATCCCCAGCTTTTCACTACGACTCCTTGAGATGGAGTTTTCTTGTCGGGTCAGCCAGCTCCCCAAATAACCACACAGAGATGTATTATTAATTACAAATGGTCCCCTGATAGCTTAGGCTTATTGCTAACTAGCTCTCAACGCCTTACGTTAACCCATATTTCTTACCTACATTCTGCCATATGTACGTTTTTCTCAGCATGGCCCATTCATCTCCTGCTTCCTGCGCATCTGACGACTCTGCCCTTCTTCCCAGCCTTCTCTCAGTTTGGCTATCCCACCTAATGTCTTCCTGCTTAGCTATTGGCCAGGCAGCTCTTTTATTAAACCAATCAAAGGGCATATTGGCAAAGACACATCTTCGCAATGTGCAAAAAAGATTAGTCCATAACCACTTGTTTCTTTAACTGACATACTAGGGATCTGTAGCT